CATTTTTAATATTTGCTTTCTTTTCTCATGCTGAAAACTTGTTGAACACATATTCAAACTTCAAAATGAAGCAGAACTTAAAGTACAAAAAGATTATAAGGAAGACTCTCTACATGGGGATAAAAAGGAGAATAGTAATAAGTATGAAAATTACTAGATTTCGCTTTTTTTTTATAATAATGTAACCAATCTCAACCATCATTTTTTTTCTTCCCCCAAATAGGAGGGTTTAAAATACAAAGAATCTCTCTACCTCCCTCCCCTTCATTAGAGACAAAAAGAAATCTTATTCAGGTCTCTGCTCCATTTGTGGTTCACTTTCAGTGGACAAAAGCATTCATTCCACCAATAATTATCAGGTACCTATAAGAACCAGGAGCAGTTACAAATTCTAGGAAAATCCTGGCTCCTGCTCTCATGGAGCTTGCGTTCTCAGGGAGACAATGCAGTCTGGTACAGATGCTGGAGCAGTGGTAGGGTCAGTTGGTATCCATGGAGGGTTAGTTTCAGGGTCTCCCATGGATACCAAAATCCGTGGATGGTAAAGTCCAGGATATAAAATGACGTAGTAGTTGCATAGAATCTATGGACAATCCTTTATAATTTAAATCATCTCCAGATTCATTATAATACCTAGCATGAGGTAATAATTTTTATACTGTATTGTTGAGGGAATAATGACACAAAAATGTCTGAACATGTTCAGAATAGATGCAGGTTTTTTTTGCATTTTTTATATGTTTTTCGTTAAATCTACGGATGTGGAACTCACGGGCACAGAGGGCTGACTATATAGTTAGAGATACAGAGGATCTTGGAGCTAACCCAGACAATTTTCAAACTAGTATAGAAATCTCTGTGCTACTACATATTTACCAGAACCTTTCATTCAGCCTCTTCTTGGATGCCTTCAGCAATAGGGAGCTCAGTATTTCACCCTTTCCATTTTTAAAAGGTGCAAACATTAAGAATTCTTACATTTGTCTGACTTTTCCAGTATTTTAAGGCAGCTTTATAGCTCCTTCTCAACCTTCACAACTACACAGCCTCCCAAACAGTGTTAAATATATCCAGTTGAAATCATTTCCAATCTAATATTGTTATATTGCCAATGTCCCTTCGAGTTTCATTATTATTTAAAATATTCTCTCTATATAGACTGGCCAACTCGAATATCATGAACCATGCTCCTTTTTCTGGTTTAAGCATGTTAGAATAGAAATAATCCTAAACAACATGGTCACCCCACCTGGTTGGCTCATATTAAAGCTTTGCTTCCTTCAGGATATTTCGTGTTATGAATACTTCCTGGTCTTACAGCTCAACCTGAAGGGTTCTGATGTGTCAGAAATGCAGGTAAGCAGGCAAGCCTAAGTGAAATTATATCAGTTCTTGAGATTGAGGCCAGGGTTATATGACTGATTGTCATTTAAATTAATAAAAATTTAACTATCAATCTGCAATATCCTTCAAGCCCAGAGGCAAAAGCAGAGTTTTAAGTTCAGAAGAAATTAGACAGTTCCATAATCGTTTAAGCAAAATCACTGACACTGTACTTCATGTGAACAAGGACATTAATATATTATTATTATGCCACTTGAAATATGGATATTTGCTGGCAGACAGGTTACAAAACCATCAGATTATATATAAGCGTTTTGTGACTTCTTAGGAAATGCTAACTTCTTTCATTTTTTTTTTTTTTTCAGTTGGAGTCTTACCCCACTGCTCAAGCTGGAGGGCAGTGGCAGGCTCATAGCCACCCCAGCATAGACCTGCCACCTCAGCCTTCCAAGTAGCTGGGACCACAGGTGCGTGCTTCCATGCCTGGCTAATTTTTTTGACTTATTGTAGAGACGAGTTCATGCCAATTGCCTGGGCTGGTCTCAAACCCGCAGGCTCAGGCAATCCACTCACCTCAGCCTCCCAAAGTGCTAGGATTACAGGCTGAGCCACCAAGCCTGGCCTCATTCCAATCCTTAATATTTGTTTTCCATAAATGGGTTCCATTCAGTTGAAATTTATGTGAATGTCATTAGAAACATTCAAGAACTCAGTTTTAAAATTTTTAGAAAAATTCAGTGTCTCAGATCAACACACTGTAATAAATGATCAGCATTTATTCTAATCTAAAAGAAAAAATAATTTGTTATCATCATATATATGATATATACATAGTTTTGAAAAATGCAATAGCATAATTCAAATCTTTACTTCTAATGAACAGTTTTTTCAAAAATATTCAGAGGAAATCAAGAAATATGTTCTGGGCTGGGTGCGGTAGCTCATACATCTAACCTCAGTACTTAGGGAGGCCAAGGTAGAAGGATTGCTTGAGCCCAGGAGTTCAAGACTAGCCTGGGCAACATAGCAAGATCTCGACTCTACAAAAAATTTTTAAAAATTAGCCAGGTGCAGTGGCACATACCAGCCACTTGGGAGGCTGAGATGGAAGGATGGCCTGAGCCCAGGATATCGAGTCTGCGGTGAGCCATTCCGACCTGGGTAACAAAGTGAGACCTTGACTAAAAAAAAAAAATTTTTTTAATGTTGTAAGCAGAATTACACACTGTTGAACCCACAAAGCAAGGAGAATATAAAAATGTGTAGGAAATACACATTCACTGAAAAGATGATGTTAATCAAAAACACATACACATTCACTCAAAAGATGATGTTAATCAAATGAATGCTGGCATTACCATGCAACGGGCAGGACAGTAGAATTGGCCAGGGCAACCATCTGCCAAATGTGACTTATATTCATCTTTTATTATCAGTATATATTGAGTATTATCATTTTAATACAGTTTTTCCCTTTCTTAAAATGTGCATACTTTCTTTGGCACTCTCTGTTATATGTTGACTACTTTCTTTAAGGATTGCACATATTGCAGCAGTAAAAAGAAATTGTAGTATTCAATAAATGTTTAGAAAGTTAAGATGACATAATAGTTAAAGTTTTTGAATTTTGAAATTCCTCTTCACTGTAAAGAGAAATAGAAAACAAAAATGATAACAGCAACAATAATGATTGCATAATGTTTACAAAGACTTTGGAATTTTCAACATTCTTGTGTCTCTGCTTGAAGCACATAAAATTAAAATGATATAGTCACAATTTGTTTCTTGACTTTTATATTCAGTAATTTTTAATGAAGCGACTAAATTAGGCATAACCTAGTACAGCTTTAATGTAGTTATGATGAATATATTTTACTTGATTAAAAATGATAAAACTAGAGCGCCTTAAATATTATCTTAAAAGATTCACTACTGTGTCAATTACAAATCTAGGAGAAAGGTATTTATAAGGGAATAACTATTCCGAACAGTAACTTCCTTTTGTTCATTTCATTTAATTAATGACTCAATCAACTTTCACACTTAATACTAAAATTTTCCTAAATGACACATTGGTTTGCAAAGGGAAGGGTATACAGCAGGGCTACGTCAATTTGACACTGGTGAAAATTCAGCAAGAAATCCATTTTTTATTTAATCAGGGGGAAAAAACTACTTGGTGGTGTAGAGTGATCTAATTAACTAAATAATCGCCAATTCTACATTTTGTGTTACATGATATAATGTGAATACATACCAGTAAAAAGCAAATTATTTGGATACCTAAAATCATAGGGCCTGCTCTGCCAGCAGGTATGCTAATGAGTAGATACCTTCAAGTCTTAAGGCTAAGTAAAGGAGGCAAATTTTCTCACCTCCCAGTTTTATAGGATGATCGAAGTATTTAAGAAGTTCCCTACAATAAGGATGAAAGTAGATGCAAATATCTTTGGGTAGCAACTAAAATGAACAATTTCTTCCTTCTAAATCCCCACACCCTCTAAAGAGTACCAGACAATCACACCTTCCAGCCTCATCCCTGGCTTGGCATCACTCATGCGGTCCCAGGGCCAATTTGAGCTATTATCCTTGAATCCTGTAGCCCATCGCCAGGAAATTCTCCAATACTAATAAAAAGAAATTTCTTTAACAAAAGAACACACACACACACACACACATACAAAAGCTGGGTGCCTTTTTTTCTTAAAGATTGGGTGCAAGGAGCATCTGAACGACGTCTTTAAAGCAAGCTACTTGCATACTTGCACGGGACTGCGTTTCAGTCGTGCTAAAAGTGACGGGAGTGGGTTCGCGTTCTTCTTGCGCTAAAACCAAAGCGACCTGCTCCAGGGACACCCCTGGCAGGGGTGCCGAGTGCTCCGAAAAGAGTCCTCCGCCAAGCTCGGCCATGCATTCAAAACTAACTCTGCCGGACCCGCAGGCGTGGCGAGAGAAGGACCGACCGTGGGACCCGGGGAGCCCCGGGAGCCCCCCCCCCCACCCCCCCGCGTCTCTCGCCTCCGAAGAACGGGTCGGCGCCCCCTCCTCCGCGGGAGTCGGAAGTGAAGATCGCCTCGAGCCTGCCCGACCCTCTCCGTCGGCGGTTCCCCCTCCCGGCCCAATTCGGACCCGTCTCTCGGGGCCCGGCCGCCTTCGCCTCGCTGGTCCCCAACCCCCGCCCCCCCGCCCGCCTCCAATCGCGTCCCCTCCCCGCGGTCCCAGCCGCTCCGCGCCCTGCCGGCTGCTGATTGGCGGAGGCGCTGACAGGAGGCGGGGCCTGGAAGTCCCGGCCGAACCCGCCCTCGCGTATAAGCCCCTTCTCGGCGCTCTCGCTCCATCTCTCCTCTCTTTCTCGCTCGCGGCTCCCTTCCTCCCTGGAACTGAACAGTGAAAATTCACATTGTGGATCCGCTAACGGGCACAGATGTCATGTGAAAACGCACATGCTCTGCCATCCACGCCGCCTTTCTTTCTTTTCTTTCTGTTTCCTTCTCCCCCCCTTGCTCCGTCTCCCTCTTCTTTGTAACTAACAAAACCACCACCAACTCCTCCTCCTGCTGCTGCCCTTCCTCCTCCTCCTCCTCCTCCTCCTCTCCTCCTCCTCCACCTCCTCCTCT